CCCATGCTGTGTCCCAGTGTTCCCCTGGTAGGCCAACCTCCCCCAGGCACTCCAAATGCTTCCTGTGGGACAGACTGTGCACGGGTCCCTTTCAATGACTCAGTGGCCTCTGGGTGGCTCCTTTCTTTGGTTGGCTGAGGCCTCTTGCTCCTGTGTAGGTCCATGGGAACCTTGTCAGTGTTATTACTGGTCTGGAGGCTGGCATAATGCACTCTGAAGTCTTCTTCTCCCCTGCAGACTCCAAGCAACTTCATTCAAAGTGTTCAGCTGCAGCTTTTGCTGGCTCATGCTCTGTGTGCTTCGGCTTCTGCTCACCCTTCAGTGGGTTGACGCTGAAGTGATGGGGGCTCAAAAAGGTCAGAGTGGTCCCTTCTCCTTATTGCCCCAGCATCTCCTTTCTTCACAAACTCCGCAGGTCTCTCCTTTTCTTCCCCTGAGCTCCAGCAGTCTCAGCAGTCTTTGCTTTTTAATAGTTGTAAATCTGTTGGTTGTGGGAGAGAGTGATGCCAGGGATTGCCTATTTCACCATCTTGATGACTACCTCTTATTGATTTATTATAAAGGATATTACAAAGGATACAGATAAGAAATGCACAGGACGAGGTGTGGGGGAGGAGGCACAGAGCTTCCATACCCTCTTCTGGTGCATCATCCTCCAGAAACCTCCATGTGTTCAGCTCTCTGAAAGCCCCCAGAACTCAGTCCTTTTGGGTTTTTATGGAAGCTTCATTACTTGGGCATGACTGATTACATGATTGGCCATTGGTTTATCAGCCAACCTTCAGCCTTTCTCTCCTCCGTGGAGGTTGGAGAGTGGGACTGAAATTTCCAACTCTCTAATCAGGTGGTTAGTTCCCCTGACAACTAGCCCCCATCCTGAGGCTATCAGAACCCCCAGCTACCAGTCATCTCATTAGCATAAAAAAGACACATCACTCTAGAGAGTACAAGGATTTTAGGATTTTTATGTCAGGAAATGGATCAAATGTATATTTCACAATATCACAAAGACAAATGAAAAAACAACTGTTCTAATGTTATACGAATGGCTTTGGACAAAAGCTCAGTGACTGCATTATATTTAGACCCCAAAGTTCTGAAACACTTTAGAGGGGAATAAAGGTCATGTGTTTTTATATAAAAGGCACAGGACAAGGATGAAGCCTCTCTTGGCAGAGTCAGGTCTGAACTGTTGTCCCTAACCTGCACCTTACATCATCCTTCTCATCTGTCCTGGCTACTGGCTTTGTTTTTGATTTTCTCATTATGTTGTTTATGTTCCCATTCAGGCTTGATGCACATATTTGACATGTAGCTACATTGCTTCATTTTCTCCTGCAGTGCCACCTCTCTGGGGAATTTCTAGACTATCTTGGTAAATCCACTTCTAGACTGATTCAGTCTGTTCCAATGGGATCCTTTGAATCTGGAGCCTAAGAGGGAACAAAGGTTTTACCAGAGGTGAGATTACTATGAGCCTAATAAAGCTTAGGCTCAGAGGTCCACGTTTGCATGGAACCCTGTGAGATCCTGGGAGTTGTAGAATGTTCTAGGTGGAGAAAGGAAGCCAGGTATACAATTTGAGTGGTCTTCTCTAAGAGTACAAAATGATAAACACAAAATTAAGTGCAAAAGTAAATTGTGTATACTTCAAGCCACACAAAATCTGGATGTACCACTGGGTTTTACTAAATGAGATTCCTCTGTGTTTTACTAGTACTTATTTGGCTATACTTACCAAAACATAATTTATATGAGTAAACAAACACTAAGTAGAATCTAGAGAATCCCTAAACCATTCTAAAATCAATGCTTTTGGTTGCACTTTTACAAGATAATTGGAACTTCCTGAAAGACAGTATATTTCAATGTTTGTATTAGTGAATGCTAGAAAAGTAGATCTCAGATACTGAGTTTAGTTCATTTCATTTCTAATCAGCAAGCCTATACAGAAAGCCTACTATGTGTAATGAAAGTGCTTGGCCAAGTTCTTCTTTCAGGTAGTTTAAATTAAGTATAATAGTCATTTGAAATGAATTACATTAAGTATAATAGTCATTTGAAATGAATTACCTTAACCGTGAAGTATATTTAGTTCCTTGGAACCTTAATAGCAGTTCTTTTTAGTATAATAGTCATTATGAATTACCTTAACCGTGAAGTATATTTAGTTCCTTGGAACCTTAATAGCAGTTCTTTTTAAAGAATTAAGAAGTTGGAGGTAACATAATAAATATGATTAAATGTCAGGGAACAATAAATTGTTGGCACTAGCCATTTCATGTTCTCTGAAACAGGTAGACTTCTCAGTCTGCCAGTGCTAGGAGTTTCAGTGCTGAGGATGTAAAATAAAAAGTATCCTTTATCATTTTTGGAGATAGTTTCGTAGATGATTGCCATGGGTAACCTTGTAACTATTTTTCAAGCCAAAGCATCCTCTACTGAATATGAACAAATTTATGTTCATCATTTCATCATTCTCATCATTCTCTTAAAGTATGGTATTATATCAGTATCAAGTACTTGTGTTTGGGAAATAGCATAGGATCCCTAAAAGACAAATCAGTATATAATATCAGTTGCTGATAAATGTTTTGAAGAAAAAAATGTCAAGGAGGGAGAGAGATTGGTGGTTTTGGGGGTGCTATTTTAGAAAGACTCTACCAGCTTCCTAGCTACTTCCTGAATGTGCCAAGCACATCCCTGTCTTAGGGCCTGTGCACTTGCTATGGCTTCTGCTGGAACGCTTTCCTTTATATCTGTCAGTTTTCTCACTTCATTTAGTGCTCTGATCACCCTGACTAAAGTAGCACTTTCCACCGTTCTCTTGTTTCTCCCTACTCTACAAATATTCCTAACCATCTGACCTTGGGGATCAAAGAGATTTGAAGAAATTCGTTGATAAATCCTTCACTACCAGAACTCTTGATACTTGCTATCTGAAATTCAGGAGTTGAAGAGGTTTTTAAAACATCTCTTCTCATTTGACGTGGGTATCCAAATCAGGAACTGAGTAATTTTGTACAATAAGGGATACTGGTAGTTTTCTTCATAGCACTGTTACTCTCTGATTTGTTTGTCTGTCTGTCTTTCTGCATGTCTCCCTCCTAAAATATCACGTCCATGGGACTCTGTTTGGTTCATTGCTCCATATCCATCACCTGGAGTAATGCCTGGCACCTAATTGATCCTCAATAAATATGTGTTGAGTAGATGTGCTAATACATGAATGAATCTGTTTGACCCAACATTATCTAAACTTTTTTATTTAAAAAATGTGATTATATGGAAAGGTATATTATACATTATTAAGTTTTAAGAAGCAGAAAATGGAATTATATACACAATTTCCACTTAGGATAAAAAAACCCAAAACTCAAACCTTTGCATGTGCTCATTTATTTATTCATTCCTTGAAAGAAAACTTAGTAAGCATCTCCTGTATATACATTCTGTGCTAAGGTGTTCTATCTCTGCTTACAGTTTAGAAGAAGACAGATTGTGAAACAACAGTAAATGAATGATACCCTTCTCCTCATTCACTGCTCTCTGGCAATATTAATCTTTCAATTTCTCAAAGCCAATAAGCTCTTTCCTTTGTGCATTTTACTGTCTGCACAATGCTTCTTGTATTATGAAACTGGTACTTATATATTTATTTGGATGATTATCTGCTTAATATCTGCTTATATGTTGTAAGTTCTGTGAGGGCAGGGACCATGACATCATTTAATTATTAATACCTACCTCAATGGCCAATACACAGTAGGTACTCAATAAATGTTTCTTGGATGAATGAATGAATGAATGAGTGATTAGGGGAAGTGCATAGTAGGAACACTAACTGTGAAGTATGCATAAAACAAATGTACTTCACAGGGCCTGGTTTTCTAAAGCCTTGCAGTTTCAAATATCGACCTTTATCCTAAAAGTGGAAGAGTTTTAAACAAAAATGTGTCACTATCAGACTTGCATTTTTAGATGGACTATTTTTCAGTGTTGTTAGGAACAGATTGGATGGGCATTGCTGAAAGAGAGAGATTGGTTGGAAGACTTTAATAGTAATAGATGGTAGTGGCCTTACTTGGATTCTTGGCAGTGGAGAAAGAAAGAAATGGATGCATTTGAGATGGTTTTAGAAGACAAAATAACTGACTGGGGGCAGTGAGGGAAAAGGAGGAGTTAAGTATGATTCCAAGTTTCTGCTAAGAGGGTCCTGGGTCATTCACCAAGACTGGGGACTGAGAGGGAAGAACTGTCTGAGGAGAAAAAGAGCCTAAGACATATTTACATTGAGGCTGAGCATTAAGTACTTGAATTTTCTAGGTACAGATACTTTTAAAAAATGCCTGGAAAGAAATAAACAAAATGTTAATAGTATGGAGACTCTAGTTATATTTTAAATTTTTTCTTATTAATAAGTTTTGGTTTTCATTAGACTTGAATTTTCTAGGTACAGATACTTTTAAAAAATGCCTGGAAAGAAATAAACAAAATGTTAGTAGTATGGAGACTCTAGTTATATTTTAAATTTTTTCTTATTAATAAGTTTTGGTTTTCATTATTAGTTTGTTTTATTTTTATGTAGTAAAAATAATAAACTTAAAAAAATTATATTAGCGTAGGAAATGCTATACCAAAAAACCTAAGAGACAAAAAGCTAAGACCTTCTTAGGCAAAATGCGGGCTATACCCAGTGAAAATAAAAGATTGGTCCTGAATAGAAGCCCACTGTGAAATGGGTTCACTATTAGTATTTGTGTACAGGTCATCTGGAAATTTAAACTTATCATTCAGAGAAGGTCTGCTAGAAGCAGTGAGTGTCACTTATTCATCCATGTATCATCCTTAGCCCTCAGCACAGTGCCTGACACCTACTGATGGGTCAAGTTATAGCTGTTATTTTAGATTTGTTGTTTGCACATTAATCTTGTTTACATCACTATTCACTAGAATTGTTATACAATGATGTTATTTATGTTATCTTGGTTTTTAGGTAGATTGGGGCCAACTGGATTATTTAGTTGTTGACATGCCACCAGGAACCGGAGATGTGCAGTTATCGGTCTCACAGAATATTCCCATTTCAGGTAAATCTTAAAAGTTGGAAGTAATCTGTGCTTTCTTTGATATGTTGCTATTGCTATACAGAAAAACAAACTTAATGACAGGCAAACATTTTTATCTTAAAATAATCATTTATAAGTTTTTCATTAGAGATCAGAAACATAAATTGAATTTTTCAAAATATTACCAGAATGAGTATATTTACAAAAACATAAAGACACTTTCAAATGGTGATAATATAAACCTGTGTTCTAGAAGAGCAGTAGCACTTAAGTAGTATTTATGTAGAACACAGCTGTTTGTTTCACTGCTGTCCAGCACTTACAGTACTTGTATATGGTAGGCACTTAGTAAATATTTACTGAATGAATACTGAGTAAGAGTAAATATTAGGAAAGTTGGTCTGTGAGGAAAAAATACAAAGTGTGTGTTTTTCCTATATTCTTACTCAGTAACAGCACAAAAGACTGACTAACGTGACCAATTGTGAGGATTTCTCCCCACTAGGAAGGAAGTAACCAGTTCTGTGGATACTGGGGGGGGTCCCTTCAATTTAGTTCTGACATTATCTACCTGGAGATAGCATCAGATTCTACACGTTGAGGGCTCAGTCCCCAAGACTGCCAACCCCACCCCCCAACTTCTGATGCCACACTAAAGCTACAGGTTGTTTTGCCTTGCATCTGACCAACTGGCTATAAATTGGGGTTCCCAAAAGCCCCTTCTCAGGTTGGATTGATTTGTTGAGCAGCTCATAGAATTCAGGGAAACTCTTACACTTTACCTGTTTATTGCAAAGGATACTTTAAAGGATATAAATAAGCAGTCAAATGAAGAGATACATAGGGCAAGGTCTGGAAGGGTCCCAAGTTCAGGAACTTCTTTCTGTCCCTGTGAAGTTGGGATATGCCACTCTGCCATCAAGTAGAGGCAAAATCCCCCATGTGTTCACTGTCTGGAAGCTCTCCAAACCCAGGCTTCTTGGGTTTTTATGGAAGCTTTAATTATGTAGCAACGATTGATTAAATCATTGGCTATGGTGAGCGTTTAACCTTCAGTCCCTCTCCCCTTGCTTGAGGTTGGAGTGGGACTGCCTTGGTCTTTCCTGTGACCAGCCCCTATCCTGAAGCTACCTAGGAGCTGCCAGCCTTCAGTCAACTCATTAGCGTACAAAAAGACAGCACTTTGGAGATTCTAAGGATTTTAGAAACTGTATGTCAGTAGACAAGGACTAGGAGGACCAAATATATACTGTATTTCAAAATATCACAATTGGCTTTTTGGTAAATACAACTATAGGAGAATTTTATATTGTGCTAATTATTTAACGTTAAGGTCAAGAGAGCAATGAACATAATAGCTAACATCAAGTACATAATACTTTAATATGGTAGTGGATATCTTTTTTGTAATTTGGAATTTAATCTGTTTCTAAAGATTTTCTGGTCTTTGCAGATCAGTCATTTATTGGTTATCTAAGCGATATCATTGACATCAGCCCTTTCGAAAGGTTTAGAATCTTAAGTTTTTGACAAGATATACATTTTGCTTAGAAATATCAATATATCCTCATTAATATGAATATTTTTGATGTTTTAGTATATTTGTAACCTTACTGGAGTCTGAGGCTTTTTCTTTGGTGAGGAGGCTATAAAGTATGAGATGGGAGTAAAGTAACATATGAAAATAATCTATCCTTTTTGTAATCACTGTACTGTATAGCCTGCTTTTTCTTTGTTTTAAGTAGTTTTGAAATATTTTATATTTCTTAATTTTTAGCTTATGCTGTACCTTAAATATGTCCCCTTAATTTCATGTGTTAGAAACTGAATCCCCAAATTCATATGTATTTGGAGGAGGGGTCTTTGGGAGGTTATTAGGATTAGATTAGGTCATCAGGGTGGGGTCCCCATGGTGGAACTGGTGGCTTTACAAGAAGAGGAAGAGACCTGAGCTGGCATGGTCTTTCCCTCTCCCCATGTGGTGCCCTTTGCCATGTTATGACACAGTACAAAAGCCCTCACCAGAACCTGCTACCATGCTCTTGGGCTTGCCAGCCTCCAGAACCATGAGCTAAGTAAATTTCTTTTCTTTTCTTTTTTTTCTTCCAAATTTTATTTTATTTTGTCAATATACAATGAGGTTGATTATTGTGGCCAATTACCAAAACCTCCCTCCCTCCTCCATCTCCCCCCTCCTTCCCAACAATGTCCTTTCTGTTTGATTGTCATATCAACTTCAAGGAATTGTAATTGTTATGTCTCCCTCCCTCCCCCCCACCAGTTTTTTTGTGTTTATTTATTTATTTTTAGCTCCCACAAACAAGTGAGAACATGTGGTATTTCTCTTTCTGTGCCTGACTTGTTTCACTTAATATAATTCTCTCTAGGTCCATCCATGTCATTGCAAATGGCAGTATTTCATTCTTTTTATAGCAGAGTAGTATTCCACTCTGTAGATATACCACATTTTCCGTATCCACTCATCTGATGATGGACATTTGGGCTGATTCCAACTCTTAGCTATTGTAAAGAGTGCTGTGATGAACATTGGGGAACAGGTATACCTTTGACTTGATGATTTCCATTCCTCTGGGTATATTCCCAGCAGTGGGATAGCTGGGTCATATGGTAGATCTATCTGCAATTGTTTGAGGAACCTCCATACCGTTTTCCATAGAGGCTGCATCATTTTTGCAGTTCCACCAACAATGTATGAGAGTTCCTTTTTCTCCGCAACCTCGCCAGCATTTATCGTTCAGAGTCTTTTGGATATTAGCCATCCTAACTGGAGTGGTATGATATCTCAATGTGGTTTTGATTTGCATTTCCCGGATGCTGAGTGATGTTGAGCATTTTTTCATGTGTCTTTTGGCCATTTGTGTATCTTCCTCGAAGAAATGCCTATTTAGCTCTTTTGCCCATTTTTTAATTGGGTTGCTTGTTTTTTTCTTGTAAAGTTGTTTGAGTTCCTTGTATATTCTGGATATTAATCCTTTGTCAGATGTATATTTTGCAAATATTTTCTCTCACTCTGTTGGTTGTCTTTTAACTCTGTTGATTGTTTCTTTTGCTGTGCAGAAGCTTTTTAGTTTGATATAATCCCATTTGTTTATTTTTCCTTTGGTTGCCCATGCTTTTGGGGTCATATTCATGAAGTCTGTGTCCAGTCCTACTTCCTGAAGTGTTTCTCCTGGAAATCAAAAAATTTATTGAAACTAATGAAAATAAT